TGTTTTAAATATTAACATTTTTGAAAGCTCAGATGACATTTCCAGCTTCTAATAATGAAAGCGCCGTGCAGTGCAAAAGAAGATAGCGTTAAAAATGTGCGGAGCATACTTCGCAATGGAGCTCTTTCTTTCTATTACGTGAAGCAAACTTTACTTGTCGGGGAACGATTGGTATACCCGACCAAACCTCTGTCTTTGTCATATTCTGTTACACTTACACTTTTAATTTGTCGCTAATGCCGGCCGACGATTACGACTCAGACGAAAGTGTTGGAGAATATAACTGTGTCTAAAGGTATGAAAGTAGTGCTCCAATAACAAATACGTATTCTATGTGACTAGATGAACAGGAAATCGAAAGATTTAAATAGTGACGAATCGAAAGTCGGTTGCATACTTGAAAATATCCGATGAGATGCAAAACAAATTTTCGGATTTACCTCCGAGTCCCGCTGTCATCCAGGATCCGGATATAAAAAATTGTTGGCCACGTTATACATCAAGAAATCAAGTGACTCCATTTTTTTTATAAATGGGTGATTCTGTTTTAACCGTATTCTTTTATGTATTGTATTTTTAATAATGAAATTTTTGTATTAAATAGATAATGCATCATACTTTTTATATAATATAATTAACATTAGTTTTAAAATCCTAAAAATTTGAAGTAAAAAAAGTAACAGAACGGAATAACTCTAATATGTTTTATTAGTTGCGCTTTCAAATTTCGTTTTTCCTAAAAAATCGAATGGGGTGCTCTTAAGAGCTCAGTTCACCGCTGGCAGCCAAGTTAAGGTGAACCCTTTTCTAGTTAAGATTCGATTTAACACCAATATGTTAAGGACCAGAAGCTCCTAATTTATGGCAGCAAATGTACCTATTTTTTTAATAACGGCAGCTACCCTACTGTATCTAAGCAGATGAGATAATTATAGCCTGCCAATAATTTTTTGTCGTCACACGTATGAGGCTCCAGACAGCTTCATACACAACTAAATTCCTGAGAACCACATTTCTCTTAAACTATTGTTGTAAAATATTTCATTTCTGTCTGCATTTGATTAGCTTTTTGCATTTGAAAATCTCTCCCGAAGATAGCTTTAATTTTAATGGCCTACTTCCGGAACCTTTCTTCAACATTCCTTAAACTGACTCTTAAGAAGGCAACTTCCAGCGTTTAAGGCGTGATCAGCGTAGATTAGGTAATTTTAATAACGAAAAAGTTTATGTTTTTTCTAAAAATGTCTAGCTATGCTGTGCTTTTAATCAACATTTTCGTATCAAAATAGTTGCTGAAAAATTTTCTGAGAAGCCTCGCATTTTTGTACTTATTATTTGAGAGATCGCTTATATCAGCAATTCATGTTTCAAACAGTTAAACTTACCGATCCGCTTGCAATCAGCCTCTCTCTCACTGCTAATGACGTTACGATAGAAAAGCCGAATCTTTCGAAGACGCACTGCTGATGACCTCACGAAATATCTATGAAAATCTTTGAATAAAGAGCTAGATTATTTGTTTAATTTAAATGCAAGTTCGAAATACAGGATCAAATTGTATCAACAAAACATATCCTACTCTCTTTCTCTTAAGTTTAAAACTACTAGATAAGATTTTGAAAATTCATAATAATAAACGTTTCCAGCGTTTGTTCAAACAATATCAAACAATATTTTATTCTGCTAAGGAAAACCCCTATTATAAACAAAACTTCCCTGTTAACTGTTTTTAGCATTTAATTCAATGACATTAGATTATTCTTTTATAACAACAGCCCATTAATGTTTTCTGCCCGAAGCGGATGACTACACCAGTCTTTCAGTGACACGGAAACATATAGACCTTAAATGAATGCATATCGACGTAACCGCTGGCGATGAGGCCATGAAGGCATATGGATGTTTACAGTAGGTCCCCCGAGTTACGTGTTAAAATTCGACGGGTTGTTTTTTTGCAATTTGTAAGTTGATACAATTATTGCAAAAACGCAGACACATTTCTATATACAACTTTTTATAATGTTGGTAATAACGTAACGGGCGGAAAAAAAAGTTAAATTCCCACAGTCTTTTGTATTGTCTAACTATTTTGACAAAATTATGTAAACTAGTAATTGTATCAGGCTTGTAATTTTAGGTTTTGCAAATTGTTCTATATATTTACTGCCCTCTGTCTATCTTGGAAATTTTTTCGATTCTGAAATATTGATTATTTTAGAAACTCGGAAGCATTGTTTAAATTCTTTAAATGTTAAAAAATGTCAAAAGTAGCAGGGAGAGAGGGAGAAAACATTTCTTCACAAATCAGACCAGAAACATCAGTCTTGGTTTAATACAAAACTGAAAAACGGAACTCTACGGGGAAGAAAGTGGAATTTATAGAATTGTTGTTTCCATTAAGAGCAAAGCAGATCTGGAGAAAATCGAAAACGTAAAGTACAACGGACACAAGGCGACAAAGCAAATTGCGCACACTTTTTTTAACCTAAAAATGCGGTGCGGCCACAGATTACAGAAAACAGAGAACCCATATTGTTAGTCGATGTTATGCTAAGTCCTAAGTATAAATTTTAGTCACTGATTGTATGTTTAAGGAATAGATGCGCCTAAGGTAACTAACCTAAACTAACGTGGAAGTTCCGGTCAATATCAGAAAATGTATGCTGTTTGGTGTGATTCTGTTGCCATAAGTAGGTGTAAATATTAGTTAGATCTTCCCTACATATCCTTTTATTTTTAAATTCACACTGATACTATGCTGATTGATATAATTGAGGTAAAGAATGTTCTTTAGAACGAGTTTACGATTCAAGTGCGCACTGAGACGGCAAAGACCGCAAAGAACAAATTATCTTTTGTTATCTTTTAATTTAAGGTAGAATGAACTAAATGTGTTACGAGAGGTAAACCGCAGTGAAGGATTTCCAATAGAATTCCGTGGAATTCCAATGGAATTTCCAAGCGGAATTTCGCGGAATTCCGATGGAATTACTTGATTGCGAAGACTTTCAGTGAAATTTGGAGAAAATTTTATGTCTCCTTTTTTTTCACACAATAATAAATACATTTTAAGATGAGAGCATACAGGAGGAAATTCTGTTTGATTCCTACGTCAAAGACCTCGCACCCCATGGCACCCATCCGCAAGCCTCAAACGTTGGTCAAGAATTATTGGACATCACCTGATGATGATGTTTCGCCAATCATCCTGTTGGCTTCTTCAGAGCTTAATTGGACCTTTCTCTTTGCCTGCTTATACATTGGTTTAGGGGGACGGAGCTAAAGGAGTGCCATGATGACTGATTTCCATATTGGTGACAGGGAAAGACCCGAGTCGCTCTTAAAATTGTTTAGTTGCTTATATATTTTTTCGTTGATAAAAAATTGATTATAGCCAAGAATTTTAGTTTTATCGAATACAATTTGATGCTCTGTTTTGTAATCGTATTCGGCCATTGCTAATGAGTTTATTTTTTGTAGTCTTACGGCCCTTTTATGTTCTTTGAGCCTAATTAATGTTTTTCGGCCGATCTCTCCAATGTATTCTTCGCCGCATATGCACGGAAACATTCCAGACCTGTTTTGACAAGAGAAAACCACTAGGCCTCCACACAAATATGTCCAGAGAGGAAATATATGGGGCAAAAATGGTAGATGTCAGTATTTGTTCGTGAGTTATACAATAACTATGTTGAAATATAATAACCACAGTAGTAAACAATTTCTTAGTGTTTTTATTTTTAAAATTATTTCTGTTTAAACATTTTTAGAAGAACTATATGAAAATCTTAAAATATACCACCACAAATGTACAATGGTACAATATACAAAAAAAAAGGTAATATTACATATTTTTGGAGGTGTTCTTCATTTAAGTATGTTAACGTAATATTGGATAGACATCTAAGGTGGTACATTCAAATAAAAAACGATTCTAATAGAGTTGTCACTTGTCCAAACTCACGTTACGTATGGAATTTTAGCATGGGAGAGCTCTCTGAAAGTGCGTAAAAGTATTAAATATCTTAAAAAATGGTGTGTTAAAATAATTTGTCCGTAAGACACAACGTTCTCAAAGAAAGTGAACTACAATTGTATTGCTTAAAGAGATTAATAAGGTCATAACACAAACAAAACAAAGACAATAATCGTGTGATATTTTGTACCCAGATTGTATATATCACATTTTTATTTGAAAATACACAACTCGTATTTTTAAAAGCTAAAATACAGGAATGTACAATAATTACTACAATAATAAAGACTGGTTTCACCCATAAATACTTACCGTGTTTATATAATTATAGATGCTGAATAAACACCCATCTCCCGATAATACTATACTTACATATGTTCGTCATAAGTAAAAAGTTTTTAAAGCCTCACTCAAGGAGTGGATATTTGCGAACGGTAGACAAGTATTTTATAATTTGATCAACCTCAATTACCTTTTTGTATAATATGCATTTTTTAATTTCATTTTGACTGTTGCGGTGATTATAAATAAACCATTTTAACTGCTTTAGCCAATTGTGTCTTGGGTTTTATAGCTATTATGTCAAATGCTGGCATTTTTATATCGTGTATAATTGTGCTTCTGGATTTGTTTTATTTATATCTAACTTTGACTGTTCTTACCAGAGTGCTGATAATTACACCGATTGTGTCGCCTGCTATAGCCTATTTATAATGATATATTGTTTTTTTAGTGAATATAATCAAGCATTGGATTATTTTCAGTTAATTTTTACACGTATATTTAATTTTTTGTCACTATTTACTAAATAAATATTATTACTAATATTAGTGTCCCTACTGGTATTGTATTTACTTCTTACATTTAACGAAAACAAATATTCTCCGCTGAGAAAATCTAATATTCGTACAAATAATCTAAGCAAACAGCGAATCATTTTGTATCTAAATGTAATCCCTTCGCATCGGCAGGAAGTTAGAGAGAAATTTCGGCTTATTTTAAGCGCCCTCCCAAATTTACATACCTTTAGAGCGGCAAAACTCGCGTGATATTTCATCCCGTTGTTTTGCTGAGTAAACATCCGCTTTCAGCTCCATTGCTTATCACTTACAAGCTAACCTTAAAGAAATGGTATAAAATCGTTAATCTATGTTCCGTATAACGCACTTACGATGCATGCAAGGCTACAAACAAGGCACTGAACCGAGCAACAAACTGCAATATGATGTTAAAAAAATAAATAAAAACCACTTGGTACATATTCATACGCATATAAATAGATAAGTCGCGTTTGCTTGATTTTATAACAAGCGCAAAGTAAATAACGCAGTAAAATAATAGCATTATCTTTGGTTACATCGGCAGGGAGCCGCACGCAAGTACAATTAATGAAAATAATTTACGTAATTGTTTAAGACAGGACCGTATTCCAATTATATTCCGATATACCTACTCAAATAATTAGCGTAGAATTCGATTATTTAGTAAAGAGTACGTCGACGTCATTGTTTTCTGCGCGAACGTGATTGCCTCTTTCTCTTTTGTCTCTCTCAGGCAGTGGTAAATTGCTCTACCAGTGTCTCAAGAAAATACATTAAGACGTTAATAAGATAAGCAATGCGATGTTTGTATTGATTTAAAAATAATAATAAAATATAAATAATGCCTCAGAATAAATCTATTCTTCTAGGCAGTAGAAATTTTGTCGTTAGCAATAAAGCGCAAATTATCGTTTTAAGCTTTTATTTATTTGTTTAGTAAATAATGCAATAATAAATAATGTAAATAAAAGATATTTTTTCACAAAGTCGTTAAAGCTCTAAAAAATTCGTATGTATTTTTATTCTTAATCTGATAAAACGGTACCCTGAATACTACTGCCGGTACTGTCAGAATCGACGTCACTTTCTTAGGAGGATCAGTATTTACTGCATACTTTCATCAATCGTATCGTTAAATATATTATCTCTTTGTATGAGTTTTTATTAGTGTCCCTTCACATGTTTGCATATTTCAGCAACTTAAGAGAATTTTTGGACTCGAAACCCAATTTTTATCCGAGGGCCATATTTTTTCTATAGGTTTCAATTCAGAATGGTAAGGTGGCAAGAGCAGAACTTTATGCCCGTGTATTTCTAATAACTCGTCCAGTTTGTACTTGATTAGGTATCTAAATTTATTTTCTTGAATTATCTCATAAATTTCAGGTTCGTTAATTTTTAATTCGTTGGTATATTGCTTTCTCTCAGCCACTCAACTAATTCAATTTTTCTGCTTGCACTAGGGACTTTCTTTTTTACGTTATGATACGCCGCATTGTCTATTATCGAAACTGATTTTGGAGGTCAATTAGGCAATAACTGTTAACTGTAACGTGGTAATCTGTTGATTCACTTCCTAAAACTAGATTAAACGTTGTATATTTGTTAAGACTTATTTAAATAGTCATATTTTTTAAATACAATTTCAACCCAGTAGCTTCATAATGAACAACCTTTTATTTAAAATAATACAGGAATCATGGGTAACTATTTTTGAATCACCCTAAATATCTATTCACTTGTGCTTCAAATTTAATTCTGTTTTGAAATAAAATGTACTCCAGCGTGTCCAAATTACATTAACAACATTAATGCGGGTAAGGGCCATAATAAAATCGGAAAATATAGGCTTTCTTTACAGATATAACCCATTGCCTGTTTTGAAAAATAACTATAAACTTTTCGTTAGTGTTGACACTTTTTTACTGTTTTCTCGTAAATATTCAATAAGAGGTATATTTTTCTTATCGGCTCGAGAAAACATCAATTCATTAGTTATAAATCCATCCGTATATATAATATTCCACCTCTTCGCCTATAAGTTTCGTGATTTCCTTCAAATATTTAATTCTTTTGAAGCGAATGTCATGGTCTATCATTACAAGTTTATCTTCTGTTTTTTACCACCTAAAAAATCAAAGTACTTGTATTTTTAGTTCTAATAATTCATTTTTTTTTAAAGACACCACAGAACAACAAGCCTATTAATAAATAACTTACTTACGTCTATTATCTTCTGCATAATAACTGAATATAAATATAAAATTTTAAATCCTTACGTTTTCAAATAGGTCGTCTCTTGTCGATAATATAAAAATCGTAAACGAATTTGCTTAAGGATTTCATTTGTCCTAGAGTGATATGTCCCAATTTCCTTGAAATCCTTGGCCTCTTTTCCCTGAACGTGCAAAAAGAAGTGCTTGCTCCCTCCATTTTCTACATAGTCTAGAATCCTAAAGTAGGTTGATTTAGATACCTTGTTACCAGCCAGAGTTCTTACTCTATGACAAAAATTTGTTGTAGCGGTATAGTTTTATGAACCCGTGAGTGGAATAGTTATACCTTCCTTTGCTTCCTTTTTCATAAATTGCGTGACATTGTTAACGACTTCTCGTCCTTGTCTTTAAAATATGCTATCTGCTTCAGATAAAAATATATCTTTAATGACTAAAATTAAACAAATAACGTTCAACACAATTTTTCCTTTAAAAAGGGCAAAATCGCCATTATTAAATAAAAACATATTTACCTCAAAATTTGTGTAATACTTCCGTAAGCTTTTAAAAACACTATCACAAGATCAACACTTTTACGCACTTCACAATTTGAAATTCGCGCCGACACTGAAGGGAAGAAAACAGCTATGCTCGAAGCTACGTAATTCAAGGTCGAAATCGGTTTACTGCGCCGCTTACGTCACTGTACACTATATTAAGAAATCAGACTCTAACATTAGCGATGGACAATAGAACGAGTCCATGTTAAAATGCAAAAATGTGTTTGGCGGCAATACTTAAATAGGTAAAAAGTTCCCATGAATGCAGGTCTGCAAATCAATTGTTTCCAAGATATAGCGTGTTAAAGTTTTTTTGAAATAATGTTTTTTAAATTAATACAAATATCTTCTGGCGGTTTTCAATAGAAATTTGGCAGCATTATTAGTAATGATAAGGGACTGATTTGGCACTTACTAAATAAAAGTTAAATAGTGGGGTTATGGGAAGGGTGGTCAACTTTGTAAAATTTATTGGGAAAAATGTACGCCACTGACTTTAATTTAATTTTCATATTTCCCTAAGATAGAGCGATTAAAACATTTACTTTTTCGACCCTGGAATTTTTCTCTTGTCTTGCTTCGTTTACAAGATAAAAGCTAAAGACCATTTGCTTGCCATATTTTTAAAAGTTTGACGTAATGACAACAACTTCTTTGTACTATTTTGTATTGGTTAAATTTAGTAAAAAAATCCTCAATTATTTAAAAATATATATAATCTGTATGGAAATACGCATCAAACTCAAATGCATTCTAGCTTTAAGTTCGATTTTTAGTGCTTTTAATTTTTTAATATGTTATTTTTATTTACCTAACCTGTTTCTTTGTATTGTCAACTGTATGTCTTCCTGCATATATGTCTGCTTAACTTAAATTTCAATATTTATTATTGTTTTTAATTAAGTGTCTATATATTATAATATTAATGAATCAAACCTACTGACTAATTGGGAATCTTGGTCATTGTCTGTCTGATTAGATCATCTTTTGGGTAAATGTAATAAATTGATAAATAAATGAATAAATAAATATATTATCCCATATCGATTTATCACAAAAATATTTTTCGGCATCCCAATAATATTTGCGAACAATTCGGCTAAAAGCAATTTAATATTTATTATACAAAAAAAATACAGAAACAGCGGATGCAGGTATCCAATCTTTTCCCACCCTTTTTTACGCTCCTGTTTCATTTTTAATTTGTTAGGGCCACATCAGCCCCGTATCACCAGAAACAATGCCACCATATTTCTAAGGAATCCGTGAGAAGATATTTCAATAAATTTTAGAACTTTATTTAAAAAAAAATTTAACACCCTGTATCTTGCAAACAACCTTTATTTATGGGAAGTTTTTTCATATAATGATCTGAGGAATCACTCATTTAAACATTACCTCTACGCGCTATATATACAGGATGTGTCAAAACAAAACAACGTTGGGTCAAAAGTCAACCATTAAGGAGATATCGGGCCCAAATATGGCAGAAGAATAAGGTCTTTATTTTTTATCTTAAAAACGAAAATAGACTACCCCTACCATTCTTGACCAAAATTAAAACAAAAATTATGCAGTTGTATTTTGTATAAACATTTATCAATTATTTTCTAAATAAATAAATATATAAAATATTATTTACTACTGCTATATTCTAAACATATTTTATTTAAACATTGAAACTTAAATAAAAATACAACAAATAAGAATACACCTAAGGCAAAACATCAATATAATTAATAGAGTGCTGAAAATGCCTGTCTCGAGCCCTAATATCCCGGGAATATGGCTCGATAATTTCTTACAAGATGTAATTATCCGATTTCTTAGGTCTTCGATAGTCTGTAGGTAGACTATTTTTTTAATAATGATAACAGTAATCGAAAGGATGTAAATCTGGGTTTCTATACGTACGATTTCAAAACATTAGCTCATTTAAGTTGAAATGTGCTGGGACATCATCATGCATGTAGATGCCTCTTTTAGTTAACAGGGATATTGTAGTAAAGGAAGTAATTCTTTTCGTAAAAAATGACAATAGGACTTGGGAGGTTCATCAGAAAAGAAAATTTTTGAGAAAAAAAAAAGGATCCTCAGTATTCATTCCTACGCTACGCTATGCTTTGGATATAACTATTGTTCTTTTAATATCTGAATCATGTAGCCTTTGCTGTGATGAGATCTGTGATTAGAATAAGTTTGAGTATAAAGATTACAAGCTACCAAGGAATTTGTGTTTGCTCGCCCGTACGTCAGCTGCATTTTTGCAATAGTATAATTCACGGTTATTATTATTCTGTTGGAAATCCAAATCACCCCTCACCAATAGAACTATCGAATAAGCACCATTAATAGTATATTATGCAACAAGTGCGGTAAACGGCATTTGACTCACGAGTTTATTTGACACGAGTGGAGCACAGCGGAGCGAATGTTTAATAAACGAGTAACTTAAAAAGTTTACCGAACGTGTTGCATACTATACTTTTTCTAATACCCTTAGTTTTTGGATACATTTTCGCAAAACAACACGAATACTTTCACCAACATGATCGTGGGAATTGACGAACATCAGAATTCAAGGCGTGGGAAATATCTCCCAAACCCTTGCGCTAATATCCCGCAAATGTCCGAAGTGGCTCGGATTCGTGGGAAACGAAACTGACGTGATAAAGTGACGCTTCCCGCACGCTAGATCGATGTGTAATTAAGCATTTTACAGACGGGAGTAGAAAAATATATTTTTTCTCTTCCCTTGAATAATATACTATTTTCTAAAAGTAACAGCGATTTCTAGCTCGATTTTTACAAATTATACCTCACGGACTCATTCGATAGACGAAACCTGCAACAAGATTTTTTTACGATCCTTTTCTTGCTGCTAAATTTATTGGCTTGAACGAAAATTGTTCTTTCTTTGGACTTTGACGTTCTTCTGACAGCTGTAGCTTCAGAAAAAAAATTATACAAATTTTGTTAGTCATGAGTGTGCAAATTATTGAAATCTTATTGAATTATATGGCCGCTTGTGTCAGTCACAGTCCACAAAATCTTAATTCACGGCGGAGATATAATTGACAGTTCTTGGGTATCCGAAGGGCAACTAAGTGAGAAGGCTCAGAAAGGCCATTATCCAGATCTTACATTTCATGTCAGGAAAACATCTTAGTGCGGGAAAGCAAATTGACAGAACATAAAAAGAGAGGAAGGCTCAGAAAAACATGGAACAAAACAATAGAGAAGATTGGGAGAAAAAAGGAAAAAATCTAGAATGCGGCAAAGCAAATCGCACTGGACAAAAAGAAATTCATATCCGTTTCAACTTAGTATTTAATCGACGTTGTATCGGTAGTTTTAAGTTCGTTTTGTTAGTTTGTTAAATACTTAGCGTCATTAGGATCTTGCGTTTTTCAAAATGGTTTATGCGCGATTATTGGAGCAAAAAGCTGAAGCTATCGCTGATTACATGAAGCAGTTAATGAAAGATATCCTGGAAACCCCAAAACTATTTTTTTACTATTGGCATTGTTAACAACAAAAAAGTTCCGGCTGAAAACTAGTTTCATAAGAGAAACAAGTTGAGATTATTGCTACAGTTGTCAACAATTCGTAGGATTCGACCGAAAATATCGCCGAGGAAAATGAAGTCTGTGCAACAACTGTACCTTATAAAACAAAAGTTTCCCTCCGAAAAATCAAGATTAGTACATCAGCTGTCAGAGGTTTTGTGAAATTATGTGTGAAACAATTATTCAGATTCTAGACTATGCCCCGCACGTATGTTTTAATGATGAATTGACATTTTATTTAAATCGAAAGAGAGAAAAAATGTAAAATATTGGTAGGAAGAAAATCCACATATTTTTGGAGATTATCATATAATATCCCCCAAAAAAGAAATTTTTGAGCAGGTTGACTTGGTAGTCATGTTGTTGGTCCAATTCTTATCGATTATAATCCTACTGGTGAGCGTTACCTTGATATGTTACGAAATAAAATTAATCCACAGATTCAAACAATTGTAACAAACAGCGAAATGAATTTCAAAGATTTTAATGCTACTTTTCCTAACAGGTGGATTGGAAGACGAGGGCCCAGTGAATGGCCAGCTCGTTCGCCAAACCTAACACCCCTGGGCTTTTTCCTTTGGGAATATATAAGAAGTAAAATTTATTTTACAAAACCTAATCCAGTTAGAGATCTGAAAGATTGAGTTCAAAATGATTGCAGAGTGATTCCCCCAGAAGGTTTGCATAATGTTAGGAAGGAGTTTATTGACAGATTTTATTATTGCTAAAATGCACAAGGTTCTAATTTCGAAAATTTAATAAAATAGTTGATAAAATGATGATTCTATTTGTTTTTTAATTTAAGCTATGGTTGAATAAAAGAAAAGTAATAAAAGATTTGCAAGCATTCATTTGACTGTCTTGCAAAAACTGACGAATCAAATGTATTCAGAATTGATATGCTATGCGAATAGAACTTGAGAGGACCTTTAAAAAGGGCCCTGCTGCCAAGCAACAAGAAATCTAGGTCCCGGTATAAACTAAAATCTTGAAAAAGCGAATATCACAAACAAAAAAGTTCCTAGCCGTTTATTTTTAGATACAAAATTCAACCTGTCAATATAAAAAAGGTCAATATTCTTTCGACTTTCGACGTAACCACCGCACCGAAGCGCATTTTCCTCATTGTCAGCAAAAGTGTCCCCTGCTCTTTCAAAATTTTTCATAAAGAATCAATCACGTTTTTAACACTTTCGGTGACCGCTCATGCGTCGTTATGAATGACTTCTTATTTTTCTTAAGGTTATTTTTTTTACGCTTATATTGGCCAGTGCCTCTCGGTTAGATATATGCAATACAGTGTATCCAAGAGGAGTACATACAATAAAAACTTACACAAAAGAGTCAGAAGATATAAAAACAACATAACAAGTTTTAAACCACAACAATTTTGATAGATTGAACTGAGGTGGCTTTTACTTGATGAAAATCCATTTATCAATTACCTGCTACTATATACACCGAAAAATGACCATAAAACCTGAATTAATGTTGTGAGAATTTA